TATTTTAAATGGTTACTTCTTACCCTCTGCTTCTGTGCGTGGCAGGAGGAGGGGAACTCGTGTACCTGGACCATTTTGTGCATAACTAACAACATTTTGTTTGTTTTAAGGTACATGGGAATAGGCCTCTCAGCCCAAGGTGTCAACATGAACAGACTTCCTGGTGAGTTGCTGTTAAGAATTGCTTGTACACATGCTTTGATTCCCACAATAATGCAATCTGTTGCCTGTTTATGAATCTGGAAAAAGGAGGCTGCAGAGAAGAGTGTATATCTGATCTGCAGCTTGTGTATTTCCTAGCACAAATGAGTATAAAGGCTGTACTCATTGGTATGGAATTCATGACTGTAAGTGGGAAACCTGCCCAACATTGAGGTGACCCTGGTTGTACACTTCAAACTTGAACTGTTTCCTGCTATTGTAAAGCCTCTTCAAAAAAAAGTTATATCTCCCTCCTTCCCCAGAGACTCAGCCTGTGATAACAAGCAGTTGTCAAAACTACATTGCCTCCTGACTTTTTTATTATATTTATTTTTTATCTTTATTTATTAGATGTATATACTGCCTTCCCCCAAAAGCTCAGGACAGTTTACAATAAAAGACAAGAACTTATAACAACATATAACATCTTGTTTTAGTATTTGATATATTAAAACACACTTCCCGAAGAATACTCCAGTTTAGAATTGTTTGCTAAATGCCTGTCCAAATGAAAAAGTCTTATATCATTTGCAGAAGATGTTCAGGCTCATGCCCTGGTGGGCCATGAAGGGAAGGGAGTTCCAGAGCCAAGGTGATACTACTGAAAACCACCTCCCAAGGGTTTCATCGATTGAAACTGGCTCACAAATGAAGTTTGCAGGAGTTTGCTCCCTGTTGACCATAGCGATTAAGGTGGGACATAAGGGCGAAGGCAGTCATTTAGGTACTTGGGGAATTTTTACACGTGTGAGTGTTGCAGCACTGGGCACTTTAAAAAGCGCCTGGTGCTGTGATGGTTGCAGTTGTATAAGTGGCGATATGCACGTCAGTGCTGAGAAAATGGCGGCAGCATGCTTTTGAACCAAAGCACCTTAAGAGGTACTTTAGTTCAAAAGCACACCGCCACCACTTCCTGCGTGCTAACATGCATTTCACCACTTATACAACTGCACATGGCACAGCATAGTGCATGTCAACTTGCATGCAGAGCAGACTCCATAAATCGGGTTTGTTCCGAAGTGGCAGATCTCTGGTGTCGCTGAACAAAAAAGTATGTGTATAAATGCCCTTAGTGCCCAAACTGTTTGGGGCTTGATAAGTTGAAATCATTTGTGTCTAGAAATATATTGGAGCATTGAAGTAATGAACTGCTGGCAACTCATCGCCATCAGAAAGTGGAAGAGGAGAGGTAATCAAAGGAGATGAAGGAAGTTTAAAACTCTGGTTGCCTAACTAGTGGGACAATTGCTGCAGGATAACCAGTTGGTTGATAAAAACACTGCACTTTTAAGTAATTGCTTACAGTTGAAGCATACAGAGAGGAGAATGGCAAGAGACTCAGGTAATTCCCAAATTTGCTGACTTGTTCAGGGACCAAATAGAAATTTCTGAAAATTGCACTTTGTTTCAGGGGATGATTGGAAATTTCACGTAATCCGAAGTGTGCGCAGCTGGCATTTAATATAAGTGATGCTGCCTTCCTACTTGTTGCTTGTTTGGAAGTTTTTTCTTGTTTGGCTGGGATCCTTCTCAGGCATTCAGAATTGTCAGTTTTCTCCCAGAGAAGAAAGGTGAAGGCAAAGCAGTATAAAATTACTAAGTGGACATAGCATCCAAGTCCTATGAGGGAAAAATGTAATGTGTTTAAAAAATATATATTTTTGTCTGTTGCAGTAACTGGAATGTACCAGATAAAACAAATGCATACAGAACACGAAAGAGCAGTCAGAATTATAAGCTAGTTAATTTCTAGGTGGCTGATACCTTTTTTATTTGTCTGCATGAGAGATTTTGCCCATCTACTGCAGGGGTGGTAGGGTGGGGAACATGAAAGGACTTTGTCCTGGGACATGTTGTGGTTCCTTCTTTTGCTGCCATAAATTTGCACTGATTTATGTCACAGTAATCCAAACACAGCATGCTCTCAGCCAAACCCTCTACTTATGAAAAATGATGGATAACTGAACATGAATGTCTGAATTGGTTTGCAGAACTGCATGCAGCCAGATTGTGGGCAATGTGCAGCAAGATGGGTGGGTGCACAGTGTAGCTGACTGCATTGTTGAGCAAGGTGCTGGCAAGAATTTGGAAGGGTTAAAAGAGGTGGAAAAATCAGCACTGTGAAGGTGATAGAAAGGAAAAAGCTGACTGTTTTCTCTGTCTCTATTAAGGGTGAAGTCAAAAGCAAAAGGACATTTTGCCAAACCTTAGGCTTGCTTTTTGCTCCAAATATCTTTTGTTTAGGCAAAGTTTCAGAAGCTAATCAAATGTTTGGCACTTTATATATCTTTACATCTGTGCATATTGAAGTTTGCAAAGTAGCCACAGTGACTGGCCCTACAAATTGCAGCTGCCATCTTTTATATTTCTCATCACTGGCTGAGCCATCAGGAATGCTGGGAGGGGGTAGAATGTGCTTTGCACTGCTTTGCAGTGTTTCCCTTTAGCTGACCCATGAGTGGCCTTAAAGGAGTTTAAATAGAAAATCTGAAGAATAGTGATGCCACATGATTAATGCAGCAGGTGAATACCGAAGTTACACTGCCAGAAATAAGCAGTTGCTGGGTCTCACTAGTATCAATGCTACTTAAGTTACTAAGAAGTAATACCTGTGTGTATGGGGCTGGGTTAGTGGCATTAGCATTTTTACCAGTCACTGTAACTCTTCCTTTCTTGGTTATACACAGGGGCTTCAGGTACTCTGTGGGGTTCTGGAATTTCCCATAGAATCTGCTCCTTTTGGTAGAACTGTGCTAAGATTTCATTAGATCATTTCCTCACCTTTTTGGCTGCAAAGAGAACCTAACATGAACAAAGTGCATGAGGATGTGGTAATATTTGCTGATAGACTGCAACAATGGTTCTAAATTATGAATGGGGTTATTTATTTCAGTGAGGGTTACTGCTGAAGCATAATGATTTAAGTGCCAACATTAACTGTTTCATTGCACATAT